TCTCTCTCTCCCGCTCTCTCTCTCTCTCTCTCTCTCTCTCTCTCTCTGTGTCTCTCTCTCTCTCTTTTCGCTCTCTCCTCAGCCCTTTCATCTCCTTCTTTTGTCTCTGTCCGTCAGTCTCGGCTTTTTCTAAGCGCCATTTTATGACAGTTCATTTAGTGTGTCGGTGTATTTCTCTTCACTCAAACAAGAATGGACATAATTTAACTTTTTAAGAACGTATTATGTCGGATCAGCAGCAAACCAAAGGCACTGTCGTGGCATAATTTCAAGCAATATGCACAAATCAGACACATGAATTTGCAAATTTCAAGGTATGCATATCATTGCCTGTTTATTTAAGGTGTCGCATCAATAGCGAAGAATTAAAAATGCAGTATGAATAACGAATGGTCTTTTTAAAAACTCTTTAAAGACGTATCAAACACATAATAACGTGTCCGACAGCAGGAAAAAGACAATGTTGAGGCGTGCGTAAACGAACGATCGTTCATAATTCAAAAACACCAATTTGTACATTTTATAGCAGACCCATCTTGTTGTCTGGGTTTCTAAGATTTCATTTAAAAGAAGCATGTGTAAAATGAGTATGAATAACGAAGTTGTGGGGTTTTTCTTTCTTTCTTTAATTCAAATTGATAAAAGCCGATAACATTGCGTATTCAAGCGTAGTCAACTCGTTACCTCAGATTTACAAAGTCCTATCAGACATTTTTGGCAGTTTTGAGTTACGAAGACCATGAGATCAAAAACCAAATGTGAGGCAGCGTGGTGGAATCAGGCTCTCGTCAATTTCTGGGCATGTAGAGTAATTGGTATCATCTTAAAGCTTATTCACTTGTCTTTATTTTGATGGGAAAAATACCCATTTATCTTGCATACAAGTCGAGATATTTGCGAAAGAAGGAGGTGGGGGTCACCTGTTTTCAAAGGTAAAATTAGTGAGAAAATGGCCGCCAAAGATTAGTCATTTCGTTAGCTTGAGTGCCCATGGTAACTTAAAATTTATATTTTTATGCCTTTAATCACTTTTCAGAAAAAATCAACCAGAAATGAGTTCTTTAATGGGCATGAAAGGTGTAGAGCCAAAAAACAAAAAATTGATAAAAATTCCCTAACCTGTGGAAAAATGCAAGTTTCTTCACTTTGATTATTTTGACGAGAGCCTGATTCCACCACGCTGCCTCACAAATGTTCTATCTACTCTATTAAAGCGTATTCGAAGTGGTTATCAGGATATTCAAAGAACTTTATTAATAAAAAGGTTGACATGTTATGAAACTCAAACGTTTTCTTGTCAAATTTCTCAAAACTAGGTTGCTGAGCAGATAGAACTTTGTAATTCTCGAAAGGACCAGAATGCGTGTCCTCAGTGAGTTGAGACCTTTCAATAAACACCTCACCTGTAAGCCTCGTGGAGGAAGAGTCCTCGTTCTGGGTGGCTTTCTCCACGCTGAAGATCTTGATGAGGACTGCGATGTTGCACACGAGCACGATGAGAACGGGTGCAATGAACAGCAGAGCGAACTGGTACACATAGATGTGTAGAGGCAGATACACGCCACTGTGCTCGTCCGCACCGACACACTCGCCGTCTTTATTTTCCACCAAGGCAAATCTGGGAAAGAGATACATTATTGTTTTAACAGAATTCTTCGACAACTAATAATGATAATAATCATAATAATCATAATAATCATAATAATAA